GGCAAAACTCAACCCAACCTTCTGGAAGTACCGCAATTGTCTCCCTCTGGTTTACGTATTTGATCAAGGCAGTGATATCTATACTTATTTAATGGCTAGACTTTCATACTTACTAGGATTGTTTTTTGTTTTGTTTTTGTTGCCTGTCTTCCCTGGACAATGTGGACATTGTTCTCCTCAAAAAAGCGTCCTTTAGTCGAGAGGTTGACAGCTGAGTGGGGGTGAGGAGTTGGCCCTCCTGTGGTGGGCCAGTAGGCTTGTGGAGCAGTTGTTTGGTCTCAACAATGTACAGATCTGTGCACTCTACACCACATTGTCAAGCTTGTGTCTGGGTTCATCAGTTTTTATCTCTGGGTGTATCCAGGTCTGAAGTGTACGTGGGTCTGGTGCTTGTTGAAGATCGTTGCCGTTTTTTTCAGAACTCTCTGAGATGTTTTGTTTATCCTTGTCCCTCCCTCTCTTTTGTACTCTTCTTGTTGGTTATAAAGTGCATTAACTGTGGGATTACTCAAACAATCATATTCAAGAGTCCACGGCTTACCTTTTCCATTAGCTCTTTCCTTTATTTACTGTGAGTAAAAAAAGGCCGCAATTACGGCTGACAAATACTCTGCAAGAACTAATTAATTTGTTCCTTTTCTCAAGGTGGCAAGACAAAGAAAAATGTCTGACTTGCCAGGACATTTCATAATTTACAAGAAATTAAATGTCAAACTCCAGAAAAGTCTTTAAAAGACCCTCCCGCCACACTAGGTATTGTGAATATTTGTTTAGGGTAGATTTGTGGTTTCAAAAGGTGGGGAAAAAGAAGACTTAATGCAATCACCTTCACTACGTATGTGAGTTAAAGTTCTGCCAAGATGGTTTTGGCAAGAAAAAAGCTGTGAGAACAGGGCTGCATTGTAAAATTACTTTTTGTGATGGTTAAAAGCAACTGACCTAGAGGAGGCAATTCCCTCTCCCTTGCCTCCCATAAAGATGGCACCGTTGAGAGCATGGAAAGATGAATGTCCGTTTCATGTATTGTTTGGTGTCAATTCATTCTAATTTTCTCCTCCGAACTAGAAAATATAGTGTGAATGTAACAAGTGCAGTCAAGCTGCAGACGAGGCAGATCAAAGAAGTGAGGAAGCGTGAGGAGATGAAAAAGGCAACTGAAAAATCCTGTTAATAACACAACACAACTGTTTGAAGAGAGTATTGATCTGTGTCAGATCAAACTGCCTTGTCACTAGGGACACAGATTTCTTCTTTTTTTTTGCAATTTTCTGTCTTTTTTTTCTGTCAAGGTCATGTCCTCATTAACGCCTTCTCTGTGCTATGGTCTGAGGTCATAGATTTCTGTGATGAGAACGTTTTGATTAAATGGGAAATGCTTTCATGCATACTGATATTCACACATAAGATTTCCTGGGTCACAGTGGTCAAATTGAGTTATTTAAAAATTACAGTGGTGCAGATGATGCAGTCCGCCTGCTCCTGAAACCTTGATGACCTTATGAAGTTATTGAACCACAGAAAGACGTTGCGGAGGTCAGAGCAGGTTTAGGTTATAACATTTATATTGAACCTGTGAACCCACTTTGTAGACCTGTTATTTGGCAGCGGTGACCACACTTCAACCTTATATTGAACTGATTAAAAGCAGTTCAATAACTTAGCAAAGGTGTAAGCGCTGCTAATGTGAAGTCACACTCCTATGGAAATACTTTTTGCCAATCTTCATTGTGGACCATACTATGTATTGAGTCGGCATCTGCTGACCTGCAGCCTTATGGTTCACTCACACACTCTGTGATCAAGAGTGAATCCGAAAACACAGCCACAATCACTGTCTTGTTCTTTGTGAACTATCTTAAAAATAGTCGATGCCTGGGGCAAACATGCTTGGGCACGGTACAACTGCCTAGTGTGAATGTCCCCTTACTGCAGTTACCAGTCTAGACCATAGAGCTACAGCAGGTGGAACAGAGAAGACATCTTTGAGGTATTTTGTTGAACAGTACAGATAAACAGCTCACAACTTGTTAGTTTGCAAATAAAATGTGCAGCGAAACATACAATCCTTGATTTAGAATCGTCTTATAGTATGTGCTGCTCCTCACCTTGAAGTTTGTTGCTAATTTACATAGTGGCTTCTTGGTAAACTCTTTGTGTCCACACATCGATTTTCTTATCAGACGTCTGGATTCCTGGTCTTTGCTCAACAAACAGAACTCATCTCTATCAAAACAAAATGGACAAGAAGAAAATGAAAATGAAGAAGCTCAAGGTCACATATAACCATGCATTTAACTTTTTATTGAACTCACTTTGTCAATCCAAAAACATTAAATAATTCCTACACATTTACATGATAAAACATTTATAAATAGTCTATCTATATATAACATCTATACATTAAACCACACCTGGCACACAAAACATGAATTACAATTGCAATGTTGATACCGTTAATGGAAAAAAAAAATCTATATAATCTCACACCAATGTAAAGTTGATGAATGACATAAAAAGTCTAATTTCTTCAAACATATCTGAGAACCAAGACATTTCCAAACCACTCTTTGATTGGTTGGTTGTTGATCATAATTGTTAATTTTTCCATGCAAGCCTAACTAAGGCCAAATTCACAAATAAATGATGGCTAGAAACTAGGGATGTCCGATAATATCGGCCAACCGATATGACCGGCCCAATATTAGCATCTATTGTAATATCAAATTTTGTGACTCAGAATGCTTTGTCATCAACTCTTACAGTGGTTTGTACAGATTAATAAATAAATATTACTACGTAGGTGCTCAATAGTATTTTAATTCTGTCCCCTAGGGGGCAGAAAATAATTGAGAAACTCTGTTTGAACCCATTACCTTAGTGAGCAGGCACTTAACTTCCACCACTGCCCAGCTATATCGGTATCGGTTGATGTTGGATTCGGAAATTAAGTGTTTGGACCGTATTGGCATATAGGATATCAGCAAAAAGTTCATATCAAACATCCCTACTAGAAACTTCAACCACAAGTACTCCAAGTATAGTTATATGATGACACTATTTTGAGGGAGAAAATCTACATCTGACTCACCCACCCCCCGTCACACCTTGACCCAGGCGATTCAAACATCCTGCCACAGGGTGACGACTTTCTATTCTGGAATTCTGCCGCAAAGACCTGAACTTTCCAGCAGTCCATTAGAATAAGCCTCTTGGGTGAGGGGTGAAATGTCAGTCCATTTGTCTTTTTCATAACTGCCTCGGAAAACACACAGAGTAATTTGCAAAACACTGCAGCTCTAAAGTTGGATTTAAAGGGTCAGGTTTTGTTTTTTTTTAGTTGAATGATGACCACAGCAGGGCAGTTCTTTTTTCTCTCCAACCCATTTGTCATTCAAAGCATTTATATTGTCTGCAGCTGCTCCAGAATGTGCCCTGTTGATCAATCACTGAGGGGGATTTGTCAGTGTGCCAAGTCAGATTTAAAATTGACAAAGTTAGCAGCTCCTTCTGGACTGACATGCACCTGTCTCACTGATCTGCTGATCCAAGGAGTCACCTCTGGTTCTCCTTGGCCCTCTGATGTCCTCCTTTATTTAAGACCCTGCTTTAAAACAATTAGAGCTACTGAGTTGTGGTATCATCTGGGACATCAACCATGTGGTTAATCAGCAGTAAAAGCCTAGCATCCCAAGTGTCCTTCAACACAACCACAGCATCTTTACCATGACATCTTACAGACCCATCCTTTTCACAACTGAGTTTGGCAGACTATGGGGAAGACAGGAGACACATACATTTTTGGGGGGAAATAAACAAACATATTCAACGAGGGAACAAACAAATAAATAAGTAAAACCCAAAGTCAAGTAACAAATAATAAAAGCAAAACAAGTCCCAGACGACAAGGCCCAGCATCTCTCAAAACAACAAATCAAACAGAAGAAGCCAACAGCCAGAGAGCGAAAACCAGAGAGAAAGAGCGAGACATATTGATGGGTGTGGGGGTGGTAGTGTTGGGCCATTTGTGCAATAACCTGAATGACATCATATTTGCCATTTATATTTTCTTCCAACAACCTTTATAGTCTCATCCTACTCCACTAGTAGCTCTGATGAATACAGACTGTCCTTTATTTAACGATCGATTGATCTTTTAATTGAATTGCGTGACATTTTGACTTTTCCTCGTGAAATAAGCACAGGTCCAAAAAATTTAATTAACAAAAATCTACCTCTAGGAAATGTCACATGCGATAATCCGTAACAGCGAACACTCTGTACCAACAAAGACCTAAACAGAGCTCGTTTTTTATGCTTCTGTAGCAACCCAACTTCCTTATCTTTGCCAGGTAGGAGAATATTTCCTGTTAAATAAATGTCAACTAGAGCTATTCAAAAATTGTAACAAAAAATCAACAAAAAGGCTAATTCCACAGCCCATGTTCTACCCCAGCTGCTCTGCCATAATTGCTGAAAAACTTAAAACCCTAACAGATGTGCCTGAAATGTTGTTACTGAGCTGTGTTAGTGGAAAAAATCTTGGAACACTTCTGCTGAGGGACTGTGGCTCATCTACCTTGTCCCCAGGAGAACCAGTGAAAGCCAGATGCACAGACAGGAGAGAAGCTCCAAAACCCTTCCGCGGCTACCCCAGTAATGTTACAGTCTGTTTGTTTCCCAGAGTCTGTGTTCTCTGCATCTCAAAACGAAGTTCCACTTCTCCAACAACAAATCAAGTGAAAGTTCTTAGGTACAAAATGCGAAGTACAGGCCAAACCCAGACCTGATAAAACTGCCAAAAGACTAAAAGGCATAGACAACGAGGCTGTCACCAGTGATGCTGTTTCACTTTCAAAGGCCAATATAGTTAATCAGGTATAATGACGAGGCTTGGGCCAATAACTTAACCTTTGGACAAACTGAGATGGATGGGTGGAAGTGAAGAATAAAAGCCTTTGGTGGGATATCGTCATGACTATGTCTTTGCCTCTTGTGTGCAGGAGTCGTGGTCGTCGCCTTCGTGGTCTGCTGGGCTCCTTACCACGCTCGCCGCCTCATGTTCAGCTATGTTTCCGACTGGTCCGAGTGAGTAACCATTCTTCTGGATCCTCTCTTGCCACCAAACCTTCACAAGTTCATTTGCTCTTTTTATTTTGTTTTGTTTTTTAACCTGTATTAGGACACATGCAGACTTATACATATTCAGTGATGCACAGTTCATGCACATACACACAGATTTGGCTGTAGTCATCAATCAGAGGTTAATCAGCTGAGAGCAACTGACGTGGAGGAGAAGAAAGGATGCATCATCCTGATTGGATTGACTTCACAAATGCTTACCCTCCCTCCTTCTCTCCCTCTCCCTCCCTGTATTTTGAGTCTCTTAGATAACATGTTGGTAATAAATAAGGGTAATTGTTGGGGAAATGTCCCTAATCCACTACAGCATGAAAGCATGCCATAGAACACGGAACAACAAAAATACGTCTTCAGTAAACAGGTTTATCAGAAGTGTACAGAAAAGCCCCGGTTCAGTACGTACAGTACCTCTGTATTGACATCCAGGTGTGGTATATTTTGTTTATTTGTTAGGAAAAGAAGTGTGACAAAGAATATACTAAAAGGTAAAATGTGAAAATACACAGAATTCACTCAAAGCAGTGAGTATAATATTCATACTAAGTCACTCAGGGCAACCAGATGACTTAAGCGCACAGTGAAAAAGTTCACAATCCTCCTTAAGAACAATTCATATGTTAGTATGTTAGTTGTCACTCTGTCCGGAGCTTGGTAATCGTATGTGGTGACCAGCGTCTTTTTTTTTCCCCACCCAAATGTCCCAGTGGCAGCCATTATTCATGCCTACAGAGACGAGCCTGCTCCAGTGTCATGTGTTCGCCAGCTATTCACTGTGAGCAGTAAGTTGAAAAGGTGTGGGACGAGGCTTTTCTTTCTCAAATAATGGCATTCCCACGCAGCTAAATTGCACCTTCATTTACTGAGTCTACTGATTTCTGGACAATGCCTGTTGAATAAAAAATAAAATAAATCTCCACTCGGCGGATTTATAAAAAAAGAAGTTGAAATTAGGTCTTTGTGCATCTTTCAATATGATCTGAAAGCCTGAGAGAAAGGATTTAAAAGTGTTTTCTAAGCTGACAGTCAGAGCCAGGACGCAGTGCACAAACAGGACTGTATTATACATACTGTATTTAAGTCACTCCAGAGTTTAAGACAAACCAGCCAAAAATAGCATAATGAATAAGAAAAAAACATACATAAGTCTCCAGAGTATAAGTCGCACCAGTGCCCGCTAGCAGTTGTCAGTGTGAAAATGATGAACATGTTCATTTTCAGTGGTACAGGAATAGCACATACTGGTACACAAGCTTAGAGTGCCCTCTATCGGCTGTCAGTGTGAAAATAATAAAGGTGAAATTATATATTTAAATATATAAGTTGGACCTGAGTATAAGTCGCAAACCTAGCCAAAGGATGGCTTGTTGTCCGGAAAATATGGAAGGTAAAAGGGCTAAAGATTTGTGAGAACAAGGGAGGGGCTGTACAGTAGATGATCCTGCCACATTAGTATAAAGTTTGTTTTTCTTTCATTTTGACATCAAACGTTGTGTCCGTTAGAAGTGTCAATGTGTCACTGGCTTATTTAACTGAAGCAAAATCTCCAAAGTAGAGGTGTTGAAAAGATTTTTGGAATAAAATCCTTTTTTAACGTTGCTGCAGTTTTGTGGTGTAATGTTCTTTGCTTTTTGGTGTTTTTTGTTTTCTTTGAACTTAGTTTTTTTTTTCACCTTTTCTGTAAATTCCTGCGCTGCCTTGATGTGTTTCACAAGATGTTCAAGTGTTTTCACAATGTTCTGATTTCTTTCTTTGACTGCGTGTTCTCTTAAACCTGGAAATGTACAAGTCAAAGGGGCATTAGCACCTCGGTGCAAATCTTTTTATCCTATAAAGGACATCATCAATAATGGCTAAGATAAAAAAGAATCCCTGTTTGAATCTCTGCAGACAGCACTGGATTTTTATAATATCGATAAACCAAAGCAGAGGTACTGGAACTGATGGACGGTAGAACAGCTCAATCAGTTTTGTGTGTCTGTGTGTGTGTTAGTGTGTAAACCTGTTCAACAATATCATGAATAAAACCAACATTGATTCATGTCTGCATGAAAATAACATGAAATCAATCAATCGAAACTTCCTGTTTTTTACATTTAGACAAACATGTTCAAACTAAAACGTCTGCAGATTGACTCATTTGACTGATTTGGAGGTTCTATTCTTACTGTTACACAAAGATCAGAGAGCTGAGGACATTTGCTTGTTGTTGTAGATAAACGCTTCTGGTGCTTCCTTTTACTGTGATAATTTTAAATATACCGAGAGTCTGCTTTTGGCAAGGAACAAGGCAAAAATGGTGTCTGGAATTCTTGGAAGGCCAGAGAAAGTGTCACACCAGAATATGAATTTGATTCAAGTCTGTGAAGATTCTTTCTTATCCAGGTTGTTTTTCAAAAGTTGGCATTTCATATTGAAAATGTTTTCACCGGCATTAGCTTCTGTATGTTTGCTTCTACCTCAGTGAGAAAAACATAGATGTATTTTTTATTTAATCCTCGTGGGGAAATGCATTCAAAACCAATACAGCTGCTGTAACAATGTACAAAATAGAATAATGAAAGTAAAACAAAAAAGTAAAAATCCACATGAAAAGACAACAAAATGAGAAAGAAACAGTTTTCTGACGTAAGCAGAAGAACTGTGGCAATTACTCTACAAATCCCATTTTCAGGATGAAAATCTATTGGAAAAGAATGCCACATGTTAGTCATTTCAAATTAAAGGCAGATCTGGACTGTAAGCAGGCCAAATGTCTAGGACAGAACTCTCAGTCTGGCTCTTCAAATCCATAAGGGGGCTACTTTTAGAAACTTGTGATAAAATAAAGTCACTATCATCGTCTTGACGACACTGGAGGATGTTTTGGAGTCAGAGATGTTCAGAAAGGAACATTTTCCTTATCCACTTCAGTTTACTGTTTGTATAATGTTTAAGCCTAAAGTTGGTTGTAGATGCAAAGTCAACATAATTATCTCCTCTGGTAGCAACAGGAAATCCATAACACAACATCTGTGTGTGCTACAACCTGTAATCTCTCCATGAAAATGTCACAGAACCTTTGAGGAATAGTAGAAAAGAAAAAAAAAAGAAAACCAAATCCATCCCTTCTCCATTTCGACTTCATATTCAAATGTCAACATTTCTGTTTCTCGAGGCGTTAGAGACACTGCATCTCCTAAGAGGGACTCTGACCTAACGAAACATTTTTGTAAAAATGCAGTGACCTTCTTCATTACTGCTGTTTTTCTCCAGAGCAGGTGTCTCATTGTTTTTTTATTTCGTCTGGCACCCGGCTTGGTTTGAGAGAAATTGCACTGTGTGGGTTACTGCATTTGGAACGACAGACTTGCAATGATAGTAGAGTACAACAGTGTCTTTTTAGACAATGTGTTCCCTTATTTGTGTGAAGTGACTGGAATACCACAAACACATTTGGGAGTGACTTAATTTGGTCTGAGTTTAACGTCTAAAAAAATATTAATACTTTAAAGCAGACTGATGTTGTGTTTTATTTTAGTTGTTGCCAATGTTCAACGTAAGAAGGGAGAGGCTGACAACACAAAGAACACATCCACATAATTTATTGAAAACTAGTGAGGACTTGTCCCGTCATTCTAGGACCTTCTTTCTCCTGACACCCCACACTTGTATATTTTGGGTTCATCTTAGACCTCATAATCACCCACATTTCCAGTTCTTCAAACACAGCCAATCCGGTGTCATGGGCTCTGCAGGTGACAGTCCTGAGAGATCTGTTAATCTTGTTGCTTAAAATCACTAAGTAGCAGAGTAAAAGCTAAGTCCATGGATGAGCAGAAAGTATTTCAGTGAGTGGTCTGAAGATGTCTGGTAGATGCTGGGAACTGTTTGAGCCCCAGACAGTCACACAGAGACATTTTTCTTCTTCCTTGTTGACAGTTCCTAAAGTTGTCCTAATGAGTTCAGGAACATAAGATCTTCTCTTTAGTTATTTAGAGCAGGGGTACCTAACCCCTGGTCCGCAGACTGGTACTAGTCCACGAGTCATTTGGTAATTATACTTAATTTAAAGCAGCAATTTTTCAAACTAATTTCAGACTCGGATACTAACCTGATCTGAAGTCTAGAAGGTGTTCTGTTTTGAAAATTTACCAATCCCTAATAACGATTTATTAGGGATTCTTCAAGGATTGACGTAGCACTACTGGTCGTACTGGCTGACCGTTCCTTGGTACCAAAAAGGTTGTAGTGTGCTGTCGTAGAGCATCTTAAGAGACAAAATCTGATTTTGCAGTTTTCTAATGTGTGACAAATCAAATTCAGGTTTCTCACAAAGAAGGGAAATACCTGTAATGGTCACAGTCAGTTCCCTCGCACCCACCTATATTTTATTTTCATCACTGACTGCAACCCAAAAATGGAAGTCTTTTGTTCGGAAAAGCGGTGAATGTTGTGAATCCAACTGTTGGTGTGTTTTCTGCATTGCGCCTGCAGCGCAGTGATTACTGTGAGACAAACACAGTTATTATTCTCCCAGTATGTTGTCAAAGACGTCCCAAAAAACCTGCAGGGTAAAAGCATCAGCAGAGCTGTCAGGATGACAGCATGACTCACCTCCGCTATGTACAACGAAGGGTAACCTCCTTCCATTTCGCTTCATTTAAAAAATAAGCATCTGTACTTATTTTTTATTATTATTATTTGGAAAATGATCTCGCTCTGCGACCAAGTACCAGTAATAAGGTCACTGAGCCAAACTCCGATGGATATTAAATGTCCCTAATGTTCATTTTGTCTTTTGCCTTCGTGCTGTGACGACAAGTAGATGAAGTAGTTAGGAGACTATTGACCTTCGTAACTGGACAATAACTGTTCTTATACTTACTTATTTCTCTATTTAGGATGCTTCCACAAGTTTCTGTTCTCATACCAACAGCTGATGGCAACATTATACACACAAATCACAA